TCCGAGCACAGTCCCTTGGTTCCACCCCCTACCCACCTCTGAGCACCATCTCTTGGCCCCACCCCCTACCCACCTCCGAGCACTGTCCCTTGGATCCCACCCTCTACCCACCTCCGAGCACTGTCCCTTGGTTCCACCCCCTACCCACCTCCAAACACTGTCCCTTGGTTCCACCTCCTACCCACCTCCGAGCACTGTCCCTTGGTCCCAACCCTACCCACACCTATGAGCACCATCCCTTGTTCCCACCCCCTATCCACCTCTGAGCATCGTCCCTTGGTCCCAGCCCCTACCCACCTCCGAGCACTGTCCCTTGGTCCCAACCACTACCCACCTATGAGCACCATCCCTTGTTCCCACCCCTTATCCACCTCTGAGCATCGTCCCTTGGTCCCAGCCCCTACCCACCTCCGAGCACAGTCCCTTGGTTCCACCCCCTACCCACCTCCGAGCACCGTCCCTTGGTCCCAATCCTTACCCACCTACGAGCACCGTCCCTTGGTCCCACTCCCTACCCACCTCTGAGCATCGTCCCTTGGTCCCACTCCCTACCCACCTCCGAGCACAGTCCCTTAGTCCCACCTCCTACCCACCTCCGAGCAGATCCCTTGGTCTCACCCCCTACCCACCTCCGTGCATCGACCCTTGGATCCCACCCCCTACCCACCTCCAAGCATCGTCCCTTAGATCCCATCCCCTAAACACCTCTCGAGCAACGTCCCTTGGATCCCATCTCCTACCCACCTCTGAGCCCTTTCCCTTGGTTCCACCCCCTACCCACCTCCGAGCACCATCCCTTGGTCCCATTGGTCCCACCCCCTAACCACCTCCGAGCACCGTCCCTTGATCCCACCCCCTACCCATCTACAAGCACCGTCCCTTTTAGAGAATACAGAACCAAATATCATTTTGTGGTGTTAAATAATTTGTATTAAATGTTTTCATTATAAGAAAGGCAATAAAATGGATCCCTGCAGGCAGCAACAATAGACCCCCCAGCAATAATAGATCCCACAGCAACAATAGATCCACCTGAGCATACATATATCCCATCCTAGGAAAAATATACCCCCGAAACAAAATACCTCCCCACCAACAATAGGCCCCGACTGCAACAATTGTTCTCGCAGCAGTCAGCATCAACAGAACTTTTAGCAGCCAGTAGCAATACACCCTTCTCTCAACAGTAGATCCCAGCAAGAATTGACCCCTCCTCCCCCCAGCAATTATAGACCTCCACAGTAACAATAGACACCCCCAGGAACAATACACCCCCAGCAACAATATGCCCCCTGTAAAATACCCCCAGCCAGTAACAATAGTTACCCCAATGACAATAGATCCCCAGCAGCCAGAATCAATCCCAGCAACTCGTGCCATTACATGTGTTCAGCAACCATAGATCCCACTCCAGGAACATTATACTCCCTGAGACAAAAAATACCACCAGCAACAATAGACCCCCGACAGTATCAACAGTTTTCCAGCAGCCAGCATCAATAGAACCTCCAGCAGCCATCAGCAATACACCCTTCACTCATCAACAGTAGATACCACCCAGCAACAATTGACCCCTCCTCTCCCAGCAATTATAGACCTCCACCACAACAACAGACCCCCCATAACAATAGACCCCCCCAGGAACAATACACTCTCCAGCAACAATATGTCTCCTAAAAAAATACCCCCAAGTAACAATAGATCCCAATGACAATGCCCTATGGGAAAGGGGACTGTTATAGGTGAAGAACAAAGAAGCTAGCTCTTGTGTCTGACCACCTGCGTTAGGAGTAGGTGTGTGACAACAGAGCATCGCAGTTTGTTGTGTATGGGGCTGCATAGTCGCCCATGGGGGCCCATGCTGAGTTGTATCCTCAACCAGAAGCACCTACAATGAGCCTCAGAACGGGACCACGAAGCCATTGAATAAGCATAGCTCCCAACTGTCCCTGATTTCGAAGGTGATTCGGAACAAAGTTCCTCTATCCCTCTTTCCTCCTTTTTTCCCTAATTTTGGTCTGATCCATATAGGTGTATAAAAATTGCACTACTTAGCTATCAAAAGGTATTTTACAGTGCTAAACCTATCATCCTAATGCTAATTTGTTGCATTTGTAAATGTCAAAAGCCAATATAAAGGGATAGTAGTGGTAAAAAATGCTTTAGTCGGTTTAACCTATCATTATTTTTCTACAATTCTCCTTTAAGGGGGGTGTGGCATTGGTTTTTTCTATACCTACATACTTTTGCTAGCAGGTGTCCCTCGTTCCCATCTCAAAAAGTTGGAAGGTATGGAAGAAGGTGGCCTGGTCTGATGCATTCAACAGTGGTTTGAGGAACACAACCATGTTTGCTGGGAAATCTTGGGTCCCTTGGGAAAACCCCTTCATGCAACAGTATTCCTTGATGTCAGTGGCCTCTGTCAGCAGAATAATGTGCCTTACCACGCTACAAAAAAAGTTCAAGAATGGTTTGAGGAACACAACAACGAGTTTGAGGTGCTTTCTTGGCCTCCAAATTCTCCAGATTTCAATCCAATCGAACATCTCTTGGAGTGTGCTGTCCCTCGTTCCCATCTCAAAAAGTTGGGAGGTATGGAAGAAGGTGGCCTGGTCTAATGAATTCAAGAATGGTTTGAGGAACACAACCATGTTTGCTGGGAAACCTTGGGTCCTTTGGTAAACCCCTTCATGCAAACAGTATTCCTTGATGTCAGTGGCCTCCGTGAGCAGGATAATGGGCCCTGCCACGCTACAAAACAGTTCAAGAATGGTTTTGAGGAACACAACAATGAGTTTGAGGTGCTTTCTTGGCCTCCAGATTCTCCAGATCAATCCAATCGAACATCTATTGGATGTGATGTCTGATCCATGGAGGCCCCACCTCACAACTTACAGGACCTAAAGTGGATCTTCACTGCAAAAAAGTTCAAGAATGGTTTGAGGAACACAACAGCCAGTTTGAGGTGCTTTCTTGGCCTCCAAATTCTCCAGATCTCAATCCAATCAAACATCTATTGGATGTGATATCTGATCCATGGAGGCCCCACCTCACAACTTACAGGACTTAAAGTGTACCTTCACCGCTCACCTTAAGGTGGCATCTGCAGATTTCAAATACTCATCGTTCCACCGTAGTCCTGCTGAGATCCTCTCACGCCCGGCCACAGCTCTGTCCTGCACCGCCATGTCCTTTCTGACTTCATTGAGAGGCCTGCCAGCTCTTCCTGGTTCAGCGGGTGCCGATAGGCCCACCCCCTCATTCTTTCTTCTATGGAAAGCTATGCCTCCTGGGACATGCATATCCCGGGAGGCATAGTGGGCAGTGTGCACGACATTCACCTAAGGTGAATGATGTGCACGGGGAGGTTGGGTTGGCACAAAAAAAAAAACCAGGAGGGGTAGAGTGGAGGGAAGTAGTGAAGAGGGTGAAGGTCCACTTTGAAGGATCTGCTACTGAAGGCTTGATGCCAGATACCACCTTCAGAGGTCTAGTGGAGTCCATGCCACCCTATGGTGGGTGATCAAATTGTTGATGGCTGATCATGTAGGTATTACTTTAACTTATGCAAGGACCAGGGGCAGACTGACAAATCATGGGGCCCCCGGGAAATAGGGTATCATGGGGCCCCTGTGTCCTTGCCCACTTTCAAACCACACCCAAAAAAGCCTATGAAAAAGGTACCAAGGGAATCTCATGGGGCCCCCTACTGACCCAGGGCCCTCGGGCAGTGCCCCGAGTTTCCAAATGGTCAGTCCGCCCCTGGTAAGGACTAATCAGGTCCCTAGCAGAAAAGTAAAAATTGCTGTGGTCCATGGGGGGGGGGGGGGGGGTAAACAGGAGGAGAAGAGGAGAAGTGGTTAAAAAAACACAATGGGCAGAAATCCAATCAAGGACAACCTCTACTCCTGAAAATTTGATATTTATACAAATACTTTACAGTAAATTTTATATTACTTCCCCCATAATTCATGCTTCCTTGTCATTTGACTATAGCATGCCAAAAAAAAAACAAAAACAAGGTGCATTATTAATGAGAAAATACACAATAGGTTGCACAGCTGATCCACAAACATAATTTGGATGTAAAAGTTTAAGAAGCCACATTGTACATGCTGACAGCTTGACAGCTCGGGGTGGTAAAAATACAAACGCAACTACATAACTATTGTGCATTGATAACCCGCCATTCTAACCAATCTGTTCATTTCCACAATGCATGGCAAACTCACAAAGCGCATTTACCGCATTCCTAACACAGATTAGAAGGATCTATACATGTCATGTTAATCTATCCGGTACTCTATGTGCCGGAGAAGTAAACAAGATATTTATTTTTTTATCCTAGACACCAACATAAAAGAGCTGGATAAAGGAAGAAAGATACAGCCGAGATAGTACAGGAAAATAATATGCCCCGAGCTGTATTTTGTCATCTGCTTATGTATGTCCAGAGGGACCGCATCTGTCTCTCTATGAAACACAGCTCAACAATTTACAAAAAAAAAATAGTCATCCAATAGTCAGAAACACAGGAAAATTTTGATGATTTATGGAAGTGCCACAAAAATACAAAAAAAGTCAAATTTACATTGCGGCAAAATAAATTTAACCTGTGGCTTTTATGGTCCCTTCTGACTACCTTCAATTTAATATATTTTTTTAAAAAAAGGAAAAGTATTGTAATAAAATAAGCAATTAAAAAAAAAAAATTAATTGAAAAAAAAATACAAATACAAATTAGAAAAAAAAAAAAAAAATCAATAGAAGATAAAATGAAAGTTACAAATGAAACAAGATGTAAAAAATAAAAAATAATTAAACAAAATAAAAAAATAATGTACTTTCAGTCAGCATGTTTTGTTTTACTTTCCTTTTTGTATTTTTATATGAAGTTTACATTGATACACGTTTGCTCTTAAATTTGTATTTGATTTATTTCAGGTACTTATATATCGCCGTCAATTTTCACAGCACTTTACATATATATTGTACATTCACATCAGTCCCCCGCCCCCGAGGGGCGTACAATCTAAGGTCCCTAACTCACATTCATACATACACATACTAGGGACAATTTAGACAGGAGCCAATTAACCTACCAGCATGTCTTCAGTGTCTGTTATCCCTCTCTGCCAATCCCTCTACTGGCCTCCACTGAGTGTCCTCCACCCCTCTCTGCCAATCCCTCAGCTGGCCTCCACTCAGTGTCCTCCATCCCTCTCTGCCAATCCCTCCACTGGCCTCCACTCAGTGTCCTCCACCCCTCTCTGCCAATCCCTCCACTGGCCTCCACTCAGTGTTCTCCACCCCTCTCTGCCAATCCCTCCACTGGCCTCCATTCAGTGTCCTCCATCCCTCTCTGCCAATCCCTCCACTGGCCTCCACTCAGTGTCCTCCACCCCTCTCTGCCAATCCCTCCACTGGCCTCCACTCAGTGTCCTCCATCCCTCTCTGCCAATCCCTCCACTGGCCTCCACTCAGTGTCCTCCACCCCTCTCTGCCAATCCCTCCACTGGCCTCCACTCAGTGTTCCACCCCTCTCTGCCAATCCCTCCACTGGCCTCCATTCAGTGTCCTCCATCCCTCTCTGCCAATCCCTCCACTGGCCTCCACTCAGTGTCCTCCACCCCTCTCTGCCAATCCCTCCACTGGCCTCCACTCAGTGTCCTCCATCCCTCTCTGCCAATCCCTCCACTGGCCTCCACTCAGCAGTGTCCTCCACCCCCCTCTGTCAATCCCTCCACTGGCCCCATTCAGTGTCCTCCACCCCTCTCTGGCAATCCCTCCACTGGCCTCCACTCAGTGTCCTCCACCCCTCTCTGCCAATCTCTTCACTGGCCTCCACTCAGTGTCCTCCACCCCTCTCTGCCAATCCCTCCACTGGCCCCCATTCAGTGTCCTCCACCCCTCTCTGCCAATCCCTCCACTGACCTCCACTCAGTGTCCTCCACCCCCCCCTCTGCCAATCCCTCCACTGGCCTCCATTCAGTGTCCTCCACCCCTCTCTGCCAATCCCTCCACTGGCCTCCACTCAGTGTCCTCCACCCCTCTCTGGCAATCCCTCCACTGGCCTCCACTCAGTGTCCTCCACCCCTCTCTGCCAATCCCTCCACTGGCCTCCACTCAGTGTCCTCCATCCCTCTCTGCCAATCCCTCCACTGGCCTCCACTCAGTGTCCTCCACCCCTCTCTGCCAATCTTTTCACTGGCCTCCACTCAGTGTCCTCCTCCCCTCTCTGCCAATCCCTCCACTGGCCTCCATTCAGTGTCCACCACCCCTCTCTGCCAATCCCTCCACTGGCCCCCATTCAGTGTCCTCCACTCCTCTCTGCCAATCCCTCCACTGGCCTCCATTCAGTGTCCTCCATCCCTCTCTGCCAATCCCTCCACTGGCCTCCACTCAGTGTCCTCCACCCCCCTCTGTCAATCCCTCCACTGGCCCCATTCAGTGTCCTCCACCCCTCTCTGGCAATCCCTCCACTGGCCTCCACTCAGTGTCCTCCACCCCTCTCTGCCAATCTCTTCACTGGCCTCCACTCAGTGTCCTCCACCCCTCTCTGCCAATCCCTCCACTGGCCCCCATTCAGTGTCCTCCACCCCTCTCTGCCAATCCCTCCACTGACCTCCACTCAGTGTCCTCCACCCCCCCTCTGCCAATCCCTCCACTGGCCTCCATTCAGTGTCCTCCACCCCTCTCTGCCAATCCCTCCACTGGCCTCCACTCAGTGTCCTCCACCCCTCTCTGGCAATCCCTCCACTGGCCTCCACTCAGTGTCCTCCACCCCCCTCTCTGCCAATCCCTCCACTGGCCTCCACTCAGTGTCCTCCATCCCTCTCTGCCAATCCCTCCACTGGCCTCCACTCAGTGTCCTCCACCCCTCTCTGCCAATCTTTTCACTGGCCTCCACTCAGTGTCCTCCTCCCCTCTCTGCCAATCCCTCCACTGGCCTCCATTCAGTGTCCACCACCCCTCTCTGCCAATCCCTCCACTGGCCCCCATTCAGTGTCCTCCACTCCTCTCTCTGCCAATCCCTCCACAGGCTTCCACTTGCTCAATGAATACAATTCAAAATACTAACAGCTTATAAAGCCATCCACGACTCTGCCCCCAGCTACATCACCAACCTGGTCCCAAAATATCAACCAAACCGCTCTCTTAGATCCTCCCAAGACCTGCTGCTCTCTAGTTCCCATGTCACCTCCTCCCATGCTGCTCACCTCCAGAAATTCTCCCGAGCTTCACCCATCCTATGGAACTCTCTACCCCAATCTGTCCGGCTGTCTCCTAATCTATCCATCTTTAGACAATCCCTGAAAACCTTTCTCTTTAAAAAAGTCTATCCTGCTTCTACCTAGTAAACCGCCATTTATTTCCTCCATCAGCTCACCCCCCCCCCCCCCCCCACAGCTATTACCTTTTGTATCACTCAACCCTTCCTCCTAGATTGTAAGCTCCCAGGATCAGGGCCCTCTGTTTCCTCTTGTACCAAATTGTATTGTAACTGTCATGTCTACCTTCATTTTGCGCAAACTGTTGGCGCTATATAAATCCTGTATAATAATAATAATAATCTTTGAAGTGTGGGAGGAAACTGGAATACCCAGAGGAAACCCATGCAGGCCCAGGGAAAACATGCAAACTCCAGGCAGGTAGTGCTGTGATTGAGATTTAAACCAACGACCTGAGTACTGCCAGGCAGAAGTGCTAACGATTTAGCTACTGTGCTGCTCACATACTGTATATTGTACATGCACATCAGTTCCTGCTCTCAAGGAGCTTACAAACTATGGTCCCTAACTCACATTCACACATATGTTAGGGACAAATTAGACAGGAGCCAATTAACCAACCAGCATGTCTTGGAATGTGGGAGGAAACCAGAGGAACCCCATGCAGGCACAGGGAGAACATGCAAACTCCATGCAGGTAGCGCTGTGGTTGGGATTCAAAACGATGGCCCTAGTGCTGCCAGGCGGAAGTGCTAACTACTGTGCTGTATCATTGTGTTTTATATAGACAGCCTTCCAGCTGTTGTGAAAGTCCCATCATGCTCTGCCTTCAAGAGTCATGCTTGTAGCTGTCAATCTTCAATGCCTCATGGGACTTGTAGTTTGGCAACAGCTGGAGGGCTGCCAGTTTGACCCCCGTGGCCTATTGGATCATATCAGGTGATGTGTATTTGTATAATGAGGGAGGGTGTGGCCTAAGGAGATCAACACTCTATAGCAAAGTGTGCATAATTATTAGGCAGCTTCTTTTCCTCAGGCAAAATGGGCCAAAAACGAGATTTAACTGACTCTGAAAAGTAAAAAAAAAACTTTCAGAGGGATGCAGCACTCTTGAAATTGCTAAGATATTGGGGCATGATCACAGAAGCATCAAACATTTTGTTGCAAATAGTCAACAGGGTCGCAATAAACGTATTGAGAAAAAAAAAGACGCAAATTACCTGCCAAGGATTTGAGAAAAATCAAACGTGAAGCCACCAGGTACCAATTATCTTCCAGTGCTGTCATATTCCAGAACTGCAACCTACCTGGAGTGCCCAGAAGTACAAGGCGTTCAATGCTCAGAGACATGGCCAAAGTAAGGAAGGCTGAAACCCGACCACCACTGACACATAGGTTGAAACGTCAAGACTGGGCCAAGAAATATCTGAAGACACATTTTCCAAAGGTTTTATGGACTGATGAGATGAGAGTGACTCTTGACGGACCAGACAGATGGGCCCGTGGCTGGATCAGTAATGGTCACAGAGCTCCACTTCAACGCCGGCAAGGTGGAGGTGGGGTACTGGTATGGGCTACTATTATTAAAGATGAACTAGTTGGACCTTTTCTCGCGTTGAAGATGCACTCAACATCAACTCCCAAACCTACTGCCAGTTTTTGGAAGACACTTTCTTCAAGCAGTGGTAAGGAAGGCTGAAACCCAACCACCACTGAACAAGACACATAGCTTGAAACGTCAAGACTGGGCCAAGAAAATATCTGAAGACACATTTTCCGAAGGTTTTATGGACTGATGAGATGAGAGTGACTCTTGACTGACCAGACAGATGGGCCCGTGGCTGGATCAGTAATGGGCACAGAGATCCACTTCGACACCAGCAAGGTGGAGGTGGGGTACTGGTACGGGGCTACTATTATTAAAGATGAACTAGTTGGACCTGTTTGGGTTGAAGATGGACTCAACATCAACTCCCAAACCTACTGCTAGTTTTTGGAAGACTATTTCTTCAAGCAGTGGTAAGGACGGCTGAAACCTGACCATCACTGAACAAGACACAGCTTGAAATGACAAGACTGGGCCAAGAAATATCTGAAGACACATTTTTCAAAGGTTTTATGGACTGATGCGATGAGAGTGACTCTTGACGGACCAGACGGATGGGCCCGTGGCTGGATCAGTATTGGTCACAGAGCTCCACTTCGACGCCCACAAGGTGGAGGTGGGGTACTGGTATGGGCTACTATTTATTAAAGATGAGCTAGTTGGACCTTTTCGCGTTGAAGATGCACTCAATATCAACTCCCAAACCTACTGCCAGTTTTTGGAAGACACTTTCTTCAAGCAGTGGTAAGGAAGGCTGAAACCCGACCACCACTGAACAAGACACATAGCTTGAAACATCAAGACTGGGCCAAGAAATATCTGAAGACACATTTTCCAAAGGTTTTATGGACTGATGAGATGAGAGTGACTTGACGGACCAGACAGATGGGCCCGTGGCTGGATCAGTAATGGGCACAGAGATCCACTTCAACACCAGCAAGGTGGAGGTGGGGTACTGGTATGGGCTACTATTATTAAAGATGAACTAGTTGGACCTTTTTGGGTTGAAGATGTACTCAACATCAACTCCCAAACCTACTGCCAGTTTTTGGAAGACACTTTCTTCAAGCAGTGGTAAGGACGGCTGAAACTTGACCATCACTGAACAAGACACATAGCTTGAAACGACAAGACTGGGCCAAGAAATATCTGAAGACAGATTTTCCAAAGGTTTTATGGACTGATGAGATGAGAGTGACTATTGACAGACCAGACGGATGGGCCCATGGCTGGATCAGTAATGGTCACAGAGCTCCACTTCAACGCCAGCAAGGTGAAGGTGGGGTACTGGTATGGGCTACTATTATTAAAGATGAGCTAGTTGGACCTTTTCGGGTTTGACAATGGACTCAACATCAACTCACAAACCTACTGCCAGTTTTTGGAAGACACTTTCTTCAAGCAGTGGTAAGGCAGGCTGAAACCCGACCACCACTGAACAAGACACATAGCTTGAAACATCAAGACTGGGCCAAGAAATATCTGAAGACAGATTTTCCAAAGGTTTTATGGACTGATGAGATGAGAGTGACTTGACTTGACGAACCAGACAGATGGGCCCATGGCTGGATCAGTAATGGGCACAGAGCTCCACTTCGACACCAGCAAGGTGGAGGTAGGGTTTCTGGTATGGGCTACTATTATTAAAGATTAGCTAGTTGGACCTTTTGAAGATGAACTCAACATCAACTCCCAAACCTACTGCCAGTTTTTGGAAGACACTTTCAAGCAATGGTACAGGACAAAGTCTGCATCTTTCAAGAAGACCATGATATACAGTGCTCAGCATCAATGAGTCCACCCCTTTTGAAAAGTAAGATTTGGATCCATATCTCGATGAACACAAGAACAATTTCCACTCTTATGACAAAACTGAGTTTTATAGAACATTTGTTTAGTCAATGACATGAAAGTAAGAT